TGTTTCGTTCTGTTGCACATAGAGTTGCCATGAGTCAGAAGCAACTGATGGAACAAAATAACAAAGACAACACTTGAAATCCAAACTGCTTCTTTCTTTGAACTTGCCAGGCTTTATAACTCTATGAGCCACTAAAAAATTTTTTTTAGATAAATCTCTCCGTATATATACATATATAACTTTCACTTCATTTGCATCTCTAGAGAACCAAACTTAAACCAAGGGATATTTAGACATCTAATGGAATGGAGTCATTTCTGACTCACAGTGATCGTGTGTTGTTAAGCACCATTGAGTTGGTTCCAACTCATAGATAACCTAGGTCCAACAGAGCAGAACATCACCCGGTCCTGTGCCATCCTCAAAATTGTTCTTATGTTGAAACTATTGGTGCAGTCACTATGTTAATCCATCTCATTGAGGGTCTTCCTCTTTTTTGCTGTCTCTCTATTTTATCAAGCATAATGTCTTTCTCTAGGGACTGGTCTCTCCTGAAAACATGTCCGAAGTACATGAGATGAATTCCCTATCCTTTCCTCTAAAAAGCATTCTGGGTATATTTCTTCCAAGACAGATTTGTTTGTCCTTTTGGCAACCCACAGTACTTTCAATATTCTTCTCCAGTATCATAATTCAAGTGTATCAATTCTTCTTTAGTTTTCCATAATCAATGTCCAATGTTAATATGCATATGAAGCAGTGGAAAATACTCTGCCTTAGGTTAGGCACACCTTAGTTCTCAAAGTAGCATTCTTACTTTTAAACATTTGAAAAAGATCTCGTGCAGCAGATTTACCCAATGCACTACATCCTTTGATCTCTTGACTCCTGATTCCATGAGCATTGATTGTAGTTCCAACCAAGATTAAATCCGTGACAACTCCAATCCTTTATCCATTTATCATGATGCAAATTACTGGTACAGTTGTGAGGATTTTGGTCTTCTTTGCATAGAGTTGTAATCCATCCAGTAGACTACAATGCTTGATCTTCATCAACAAGTGCTTCAAGTCCTCTTCATTTTCAGCAAGCAAGTTAGTGTTACGTGCATATCGCAGGTTGTTAATAAGCCTGCCTCACATCCTAATGCCACAACCTTCTTCATATAATCTGACTTTACTGATGATTTGCTCACCATACAGATTGAATAAGTATGATACGAGGACACAACTCTAACATATGCTTTTCCTGATTTTAAACTATGCAGTATTCTCTTGTTCTGTTCATACAATTGCCTTGTTATCCATGCACAGGTTCCACATGAGCACAATGAAATGTTCTGAAATTCCCATTCTTCTCAAGGTATCCATAGCTTTTTATTATCCACACAGTTTAATGCTTTGACATAGTCAATAAAACACCAGTAAACATCTTTCTGGTATTCTCTGCTTTCAGCCAATTTTCATCTGACTTCTGTAATGATATACTTTGTCCCAGGTTCTCTTCTCAATCCACCCTGAACATCTGGCCGCTCCCTGTAAATGTAATACTGCAACCATTGTTGGATAATTTTTGGCAAAATTTTACTTGCATGTGATATTATTGTCATATAATATTGTTGTCTAATTTGAGCACACTATTGAGTTATCTTTCTCTGGAATAGCTTTCTTCCTATCAGTTGGCTAAGTAGCTGGTTCCAAATCTGTTGGCATAGGAGTGAGTGCTTCTAGTATTTCATCAGCTTATTGAAACATTTCAATTGCAATTCCTTCAATTCCTGGAGCCTTGCTTTTGGTTAATAATTTCAGTGAAGCTTGGACTACTTCCTATAATACCATTGATTTTTACTCTTATGCTCCCTCCTTTAGGTGAAATGTCCACTAAATATTTTGGGTAAAGTGACTCTGCATGTTCTTTCCATCATTCAATATTTTGCCCAAGGATCTTATGGTTTTGCAACTCAACCTGATCTTGTGTAACAATAAAATTGACCCATATAGTCTCCTAGGCTGCAAATATTTATAGAACCATACTGTTTCACCTTTCTCCAAGGAGCACCTGGTAACTTCAAAGTGTCACCTTTGTTAGCAATAAAGCATTTAACCATTGTACCACCAAGATCCCATTATTGAGACATAGAAAATTAGAATTCTTTACACAATCAAATAAAGCCATCAAGGAAATTGATCCTTGCTGGTGACAAGAAAAATGTTATTGTCCTCAGGTTAACCCTGACTCTTGGGGAATTTATATATATCAGATTGGAAATGTGCTCTATTGGATTTTCATGACTGAGTTTCAGAGGCACATTCCTAGACCTTTTTTCTAAGCTGGCTCTAGGTTGTGGACTATAACTTTTCATCTTTCTTTTATTTCCATGCTGGGAAATTTCTGAAGGGAGAGGAAGAGTGGGGGGTGGAATGCCAGCCCCCCACAACTAATTGTGGGTTCAATAGGCACAATTGTATGGTTAATATAAATAAAGGTTATAATAAAGTCCTAGAGAGCATGAGAGATAAAAGAGAGATTGAAATAATGGAGGCAGGCACATTTCATGGTAGCATGCTCACCTCAGCCCTGCTTGGTCAACCACGTGGAGAGAGGGGGAGGGGAAGAAGGACAAGGGGAAAGGAAACAGGGTAGCAAGGACAGGGGAGAGAGGGAGCTGATGAGAGGCCAAGAGGAGAGTCCGAGAGAGCTCTGTATTGCTAACCAAGGCCTATATACCTTTGAGGGGGCATGTAAGCCCTCTAGTTACAGGTAAAGACATACATCACAGGCACGGATTGTACTATAGGTAATACAGCAATGAGAGGGGCACAATCTAGGGATATACATGCAATAGGAAGAGGAGGGATTTGGGGTATACATGTGACAAGAAGGGTGGATTCTGGATTCAGGATAGTAGCTTAATTTTGGATGTCACTGAGCCAGTTTGACCTGTTCTCTGGCCCACCACAGAAACCATTATCAATTGGGTGTAAACCCCACCTACAGGTACCAAGCTAATGGTTACAAGCCTTTAGGGAGAAGTAGCCCATTGTCTTTAACAGCTGGGAGCGGGGCCTACAGGTGGTGGGACAAGACAGTAGTCTGGCAACTGACTGCCTTCAGGGAGGATGTCTTTAAGCATCTGACTTCCCACCATATGCTGGCAAAAAAGCCTCCAATGTTTGGCATGTCTTTGGGGAGACAAAGCTTGGGAAAAGTCTGTTTATAATCCCACAGAAGAGGGAAAATATTATTAAGGAAGAAGAAAGAAGCCTAATGATTTGTTTTTTACTCCTCTGCAGACTCTGGCTGGTGAAATGCATTCAAAGTGGGACATCCTTTTCCTGTTTTGCTTAGGTGGTAACCATGAGTTGGAAGCCACTGCACAGAGACTATCAACAACAAAATCAACAGTATTTATACTCTGTAATGCCACGATTTTATTAGAATTGTATGACACAACCATTTGCTGTCAATGCTTCATGGAAGAAAGATAGGTTGTCACAAACTGGAGCAAAAAAAAACATGCAGAGGAATACTACTGATACTGTGGTTGCGAGGCAAAGAAATAAGACAAGAATTCACAATGAGTATCAATTTATAGGTACTCTCCTGGATAGACAAATTCTCCTGCCTTCAACTTTTTTGATCCTTAGAATAATTGTAGAAATTGATGTTTCCTCAAAGTTTTGACATATGGTGTCTCAACTGTGTGTTTAGGTGTGTGAGTATACGTTTGTGGAAGTGCATGTGGACACACAAACACAAACAACCTGGTACATTTTGGGGAATGTGAATTCTAGAATATTTGAGAATATTCCCATTACATAAATTATTTATTCTTAGCCAAAGTAATGGCAACCTTGAAGTGGCTTGAAATAATTCCTCATTGTTAGAGGGATGTTTTATTAAGATTACATGGACATCCATAGGAAATTAAACAGAGGTTCTAAAGATAGATGTGGCTAGAAGATTTGTTTGTTTACAAGGACTCAGGGAATATCTGAGGTGATATAGATGAACCAAATACAATGATAATGAAGGAATAAATACAGTGGAGTTATTTAAAAGATAGAATTGATGGTTTTGATTGACAGATGGGAGTTGGCAAAAGAGAAAATTTATTTTTAAGATTTGAAAGAATTCTAAAACTCATGCAAGCCGCATGGCTGAGGAAAATAATGATTTCTTTCATTTGATCTTTGACAACGAATGAAAAAGAATATTTTTAAAATCTACTGTGAAAGAGAAGAAATCTATATGATTGCTTTCAAAGATAGAAACTTATTTTTTTTTAAAGAAAAGGATTTTATTGAGCGTAAAGGACTCCCGGACAGATTCCACAACCAAACAAGTGCAGGTTAGGGAAGTCTTGCTGGTGCTAGGGTGGAGGATATATGTATATGATATGAACGTAAGGCATATGGGCCGGTAAGGGGAAGGGAGGTTCTTTGTGCTGTGGCTCAAGTTTCGGGTCAGGAGATGACCTGTCAGTAAATCATCTTGTTCTCAGCAAACTTGCTTCCTGGAATGCTAGGGAGAGGAGGCTGTGTTTTGCCCGGGGAGGTACACTTTGTGAAATGCTGGAGGCAGGTGCTTTGAAGTTCAGTGGGTCATTTGTCTTCTTGAGAGGCTGGTGCAAGGGGCTGCCTGGTCCGGACTGGCCCAAACACCCCAAACTCTTAATAATAGTGATGATGGGCATCATGATATATCTTTAACTACTTTCTGCTGAGGTCGGGCGATGAGGGGGGTGAAAATTAAGAGCTGGGAAGCGGGGTTGGTTGGCAATGGACTATAAAGGAGAAGTAAAAGCTGGTTGAAGGTCAGGTTGGAGATGGCTTTCATCCGTTCCTCAGCCCTGCTTGGTGGTCCACGTGGAAATGGGAGACTGGAGGCCAGGAAAGAGGGGGAGGGGAAGGAGGACAAGGGGAAAGGGAACAAGGGAGCGAGGACTGGGGGAGAGAGGACGGGAAGAGCTGAGAGCAAAGATAGAAACTTTTACTAATAAAATCCTGAATTATTTTTTAGCCTTATGGGGTATTCTTGATTATATTGATGAATTCATACTAAATATCCCAAACTGCTTTAGTACCAAAGATAAAATCTATATGATTGTATGAAGGCAGTGTCTTGACATAGATGAGGTTAGGGATTTGAGGGAGGAGAAAGTTGACATCCACAGGGTCAGCCAGGTTGTCCTTTAGACCATGCCACACTGCGGTCCTCACTTTCAGGTTCTTCACGCTGTACTGGGGAGGAATGGGCTAGATGGAAACAACAGGAGGAACAAATATTACATTTAGCCACACTTCACAAGCTTCCCCAGAACTGAGCTCGTCTTTTTTGAGATGATGTTTCTCATCTGAAGCAGCACCTGCCAACCTGGGAGAACTCTAGTGACTCCAACAAAGTTGCCTTCCATCCAGGTCTGAGGAAGCCACTCAAGCCTGGCTAGTCAGGAAATTACACAGCTGTACTCACAGTGTACTTCCATGTAGAAATCAACACAATGTGAAAGAGTTTTGCCTAAATATTTGGTGGAAACTTTTTGTATCCTTTAAAGCATGAATTTTCTTCTTCCCGACTCATGGAACAGTTACCTGACTGTAGTGTTCCATGTTCAGAGCAAGGCTTCCAAAGCCATAAGCTTGAACTTCTTTTCTGACTTGTTTAGTGGTCTTTAATTAAAGAAAATAAATAAATTAAAGGGCAAAAAACCCACGTTTTTTTCTGAGGTATCAAAATCATCAAAGTAGACATACTAAAACATCTGTGGCAGATAAATTTTATGTACACATACACTTGAGTGGAGGTAGGGGTGGAGTCTAAACTATCAAACAGGTCACAGACTGATGGTGCCTTCTTGGGAGTGTGGCCTTTTCATAAGCTGAACATTGATAACTTCTTTCTCTGGGCATTCACCTTCCTCCCAGCTGGCATTTCCTAATGTGGGACCCTGGCCCTGGAAGCCAACTTCTGAGCTGTTGGTGCCCTGCCATATTCCCACAGGCAGATCCTCATGATTCCGCACTCTCCGTTCTATAAATTCCAAGTTCCCCCTGTTATCTTTCTGTGCCATCAGCCTGTAGTTATGTGTCTGAAGAGGGCCCCATCCAGCATCAAACCCAAGGACTTGAGTTGATTCCAACTCATAGCGAACTATAGGACAGGGTTAAATTGTCCCTGTGCGTTTCCAAGAATATATATATAGAGAGAGTAGAAAGCCCTGTCATTCTCAATTGGAGCAAATGGTGGTTTCAAACTGCTAACCTTGTGGATACCAGTGTAACATGTAATCAGTATGTCATCAGGGCTCCATACACACACACGTATATGTGTGTATATATACATACATATATAAAATAAGGTATCTAAATACTATTAATCTAGATATATGTGTGTTACAGTAATGGAGAGGGAGTAATCCAAATCCGCTATGGGGTTAACATTTGTACTGAAATGAAACATCTATTTTCCACCTTTTAATACTGCTCATTGGTACAGCTGCCTCCTCCCCTAGCCTGACCAGCAGGCCATTGTACTACTAGAGGGCATTTGAGAACTATACAACACAATAAAAAGATTTTTAAAAGCTCATGAAAATCCATACCTGTAGCACAGGCAAAAGATTTTGAAAAGAGGTCCCTGCTGGCACAAGGGAAAAATACACATCAATTCTACTCTGGTAAGAAATATTAGCAGTTATTATTTCATCTCAGAAAATTGTGCTTGCACATTCTATGTCTGGAAACATACTCCTTCAGAGAGGACACCACACAAACACTGCCTCTGCTATTGACAATCCACTCTCCTGCAGACAGGATGCTGAGTGACTCACCTCTGCACTCAGTGCTTTGCATCCCAAGGATCAGGAGCTACACACCGAGCACCTCTGTAGTTGGTGACAAGTGTTTGCACCTGCAGCTATTATACCAGTTATCTTTCCTCTCTCATCTCTTCCTTTCTTCCACCTCTTCCTTCTTTCTATTTTTCCTTCCTCCCTCTTTCAGTTCCTCCCTTCCTCCCTCTCACCCTCCCCTCCTTTCCTTCTGATCTGTAGTCAATTAATATGGCCCTTCTAGCCATAACTCCTGATGTGATGTATTAAAGTTCTGGACTCTAATGCCTGTGACTCTGAACCCATTTTCGAGGGAGCTCTCTGTCATAGGATTAAGGTGAGGTTAAGTCTTGGCAGCAGTAGCGCATGTGAACCAAGCCACACCTCTGTTTCCTTAGGGGCATCCTGAAGATGACTTGGCTCACTGCCATCTAGGGTAGGGTTGCTGTGGATAAGGTGAATTGCCCCTCAGAGTTTCCAAGACTCTAACTCTTTATGGGAGTTATACTCTCTATCTTTCCCCCTCAGAGTGGCTGATGGTTTAGAACTGCCGACTTTGCAGACAAAGCCCAATGTGAACCACCACACAACCAGGACTCCTATGACTTTTCTCCAAAACAACGACAAAAACAACTCACTGACTTTGAGTCAATGCTGGCTCATAGTTGACCATCTGTGGGTTTCCCAGACTGCAATCGTTTGAAGTAAAGGTTAAAATATTGAAAAGCATATTAGGTGATAATATTTTTTGAAAAAGTTCAGGCAATAAACTATTATATATGTATACCATGTTTATATTTTCTGCATCAACTTCAAACAGAGCAAAGGGGATCCTGTCACACCTAGCATCTGGTATATCTTGGTTGCGTAACTTTGAGACAGTGAGAGGATTTAAAATGATCTGTGGGAGTACTTCTTCGTCATCAAATATAATCTATGAAAATAAAAAATAACACAAGGTATTATTTCTCATGAAATATATAAATATACCACTATAGGAGCAGAAAATCTGCATTCCTCAGCGGTTGTCTTAGATAGAATATTAAGAATATTCCAATCTAGAGATGACATGATGGGCATGATGAATTGAAGCTCAAAATACATTTGGGAAAAAATAGATAAAATGCTTGTATTAATGTTTGAATTTATCGTAAACCAAACAAGGATATCATTAGGACAGGGATAATATACTGATGTCAGATGAATCGTGGCTGAAAGCAGAGAAAACCAGAAAGATGTTTACTTATGTTTTTTTTTTTAACATTTTATTAGGGGCTCATACAACTGTTATCCCAATCCATACACACATCAATTGTGTAAAGCG